TGATGCCTCCCCCTGCCATCCCTGCATTAAGCAAGAGTTCAAGGGGGAACGACCCCCGCCCACGCCCCACTGTAAATCCGCCACCATGCCCCCTGGCACGTTGAGGCGTGCTGTAATGCCAAATGCTGCCTGGTAGGGTTTTTGTAATCTTCTAGGGGGCCTCCCTCCTCCGGGCCGTACCTCGTCGCGTGCACAGGCCATGCTCCCGGGGGGTCCGTGGGCGGCCATGGCGCCTCCCTGGGGCTCTCCAAGGCTTCCATGACAGCCCAGGAGGCCCCCCAAGACGGTCCAAGAGGGCCCCCAGTCGCCGAACGATCGCTCGAAGACGCCCGAGATGGAAGATTGCGCAAGAGGCTGCCAAGGCGCCCACAGAGGCCTTTAGGAGGTCTCCCAAGAGGGTCCCTAAAAGCAAATTATCCCAGTGCGACCCTACCTAGGACTTGGGGCCCCTAGGAAAGCAGCATTAATAGTAACAGTAAAGCTAAGCTAAATCAAAGCTAAAGCTAAGCTAAAGCCAAGCAAAAAGCTAAGCAAAAGCTAAGTTAAAGCTAAGCTAAAGCTAATATACATCTAAGCTGAATATACTATACGCTAAATATAAACTAACGCTAAGCTAAAGCTAAGCTAAAGCTAAGCTAAAGCTAAGCTACAGCTAAGCTAAATCTAAGCTAACGCTAAGCTAAAGCTAAGCTAAAGCTAAGGTGAAGCTAAGTTAAAGCTAAGCTGAAGCTAAGCTAAATCTAACGCTAAGCTAACGCTAAGCTGAAACTAAGCTAAAGCCAAGCTAAAGCTAAGCTAACGCTAAGCTAAAACTAAAGCTAAGGTACATCTAAGATGACGCTAAGCTAAACCTAAGCTAAAGCTAAGCTACAACTAAGCTAAAGCTAAGCTAAGGCTAATCTAACGTTAAGCTGACACTAAGCTAAAGCTAAGCTGAAGCTAAGTTAAAGTTAAGCTGAAGCTACGCGAAAGCTAACGCTAAGCTAACGCTAAGGTAAAGCTAAGCTAAAGCCAAGACAAAGCTAAGTTAAAGCTAAGCTAAAGCTAAGCTAAAGCTAAAGCTAAGGTAAAGCTAAGATGAAGCTAAGCTAACTTTAAGCTAAATCGAAGCTACAACTAAGCTAACGCTAAGCTAAAGCTAAGCTAAAGCTAAGTTAAAACTAAGCTAAAGCTAAGCGAACGCTAAGCTAAAGCTAAGCTAAATCTAAAGCCAAAACTAAAACTAAAGCTAAAGCTAAAACTCCCAGGGGACTGGGGGAACCGCTCCCAGGGGACTGGGGGAACCGCCCGGGGCGCTTTGCACTGCCCGGCCCCTTTAAGCTAAGAGAGTAAGAACCCTTCTAGGCAGAGCCTAGGTAGGGAACATCATCAATTTTCCTTGAGTTTTTGAAGGATTTGGGAGTTATCGCCTTTTCAGCTTTGCGACGCTCCTAGACGGCCCAAGAGGCCCCCAAGATCAACCGAAAACAGCCCAAGAGGCCTCCAAGAGGGCTCGAAGACAGCCTAAGAGCGCCCCAAGACGGCCCAGAATGCGCCCAAGACAGTCCAAGATGGCCCTAAGACAGCTCCAAAAGGGGTCCCAGAGAGGGACCACTAAACGAACCTCCGAGCCTTCCGCCCCAAGGCCCCCAGACGGCCCCAAGACGCGCCCAAGACGCCCTAAGAGGCCCCAAAACGGCCCCAACGAGGCCTCAAAACTGTCTTCAAGAGACCCCCAAGAGGCTCCAAAATGGCCCCAAAGAGGCTCCAAATCTGCCTCCAAGATGCCCCCAAGAGGCCTCCCACGAGATCCCAACGAACGTCCAATAGGCTGATAACTCACAACCCAGGCACGGTGGCAGGACTTGCCGTAGGCAACTGGGTATTTATCACCGCGCAGTTGCTGGTGTGAGCCGGGCCCTGCTCTGTTTTCGCTCGTCGTGCTTCTTGCGAAGCAAGCGTGAGGCCCCCATGACGCGTCCAACTCAGCACGCATCCAAATGCGCTGATCGGACCCCTGCGGTGTTGATCCTTCCCAAGAGAAGATTGTGTCAAAACCATGCTGGCCGGTCTTCCGCCACCACTGCCGTAGGTAGGGGAGGGAGGAAGAGGAGGAGGAGGAGGAGGAAAAGGAGGCGGAGGAGGAGGAGGACTAGCGCCACAGGGTAACCTTATATTGGTCTAGCGCAAAAAAACGGAGGGGGAGGAGGAGGAGGAGGAGGAGGAGGAGGAGGAGGAGGAGGAGGAGGAGGAGGAGGGAGGAGAGGAGGAGGGGAGGAGGAGGAGGAGGAGGAGGAGGAGGAGGAGGAGGAGGGGGAGGAGGAGGAGAGGAGGAGAGGAGGAGGAGGCGGAGGGGGAGGAGGAGGAGGAGGAGGAGGAGGAGGAGGAGGAGGAGGAGGACGGAGGAGGAGGAGGAGGACGGAGGAGGACGGAGGAGGAGGGGGAGGAGGAGGAGGAGAAGGAGGGGGAGGAGGAGAAGGAGGAGGAGGAGGAGGAGGAGGGGGGCCTCCCCAATCCTCCCTTCTCCCCCGCCCTGCCCATGGTGGTTGTGGTGGAACATGTTCGCCCAGCGCGCCCGAACAACTCGGAGAGTGGGACCGTCCGTGGCCTGCGCTCCCCTCGCACGCCCCCCAGCGGCGGCTCCGAAAGGGCTTCCGACGAGGCCAAGACTGCCCCAGACGGCTTGCAGGACTGCCAATTCCAGGCCGGATGGCCGATGATGATTATGATGCTGATGCTGATGCTGATGCATGATGATGATCATCATCATCGTCATCATCATCATCATCATCATCATCATCATCATCATCATCATCATCATCATCATCATCATCACCATCATCATCATCATCATCAGCATCAGCATCAGCATCAGCATCAGCATCAGCATTGTCATCAGCATCATCATCATCATCGTCGTCGTCATCATCATCATCATCATTAGCATCAGCATCATCATTATCAGCATCAGCATCAGCAGCAACAACAGCATCAGCATCAGCATCATCATCCTCATCCTCATCCTCATCCTCATCATCTCGTAGGGCCTCCGCGACGGTCCAAAATTACTTGCAAGACTGCTACGGTGGCCCCACGACGGGCCCGGCCCAGAGGCCCCAACACGCCCCTCAGAGGCCTCCAACGGGACACGAGCGGCGAGTCCTGGAGACGTGGCCCTCGATAGGGGGCTTACTTCCGCTCGTCACCTAACTTTGCTGCCATGCTTGCCTACGGGTACGCCAACCAGAGTATGTTAAGCATGCTGGCGCGCCCCGAAGCTTGATACCAGCCATGCCCATGAGCATTGATACCTGCAGTCCAACTCGATTCGCCATTGCGTGAGGTACGGCAACGGAAACAAATAGTGCTCGCTCGTATCCGCTTCATTATCGGTTTCGGGCGTTCCTATCTTCGGGTCCATGCCTACCACGCGAACTAATGTATGCTATTTGCATGTGTCACATTCCGCGCGGAAGGTAATGCGCGCTGACGCAATTTCGCACACACAATGCTCCTGTACCTCATCATATACGGCCAACACGCTCGCGAGAAGCCAAGTGTTTCCGTGCAACTACATCTGGTCTTGGGCGTTTAAGGCCCCCATGGCTGGATACCCCAGCCGAGCAGGGTCAGGCCAGACACCATCCGTCTTTTTGGGGGGCTTCCGTTTATATCATTAGATGCTCCTGCCTCGCATTCTCGAGTCTCTAGCCCAACCAGTTCGCACAATCCAGTCCTTTTCTTGCGCACTTAAGTCCATGCAGACTGCGGCACCACACAGCGTCTTGAAGCCAGCTCAATGCCTTTGCCTTGAAGCAATCACCTCGATCGCTCGAAGCAAAGCCTACTCGAACAACAGTACCTCGTCCTTGGCACTTCCGCTTTGTTGCAACTGCACAGCTCAGGTTCCTCGGTCGGTCTGGCCTGCATCTCTGTGTGCCGCCCACCTCACTCCACTCTGACATGAGCCTACCTTCCCTCTCTTTCGCAACCATGCCGGGTTCGCAGCAGCCGTACGTATAGCGCCGTGGCTTGGGCCGCAGCAGCAAATGAACTCCTCTGGCCGTGGCGGGTGACGCCCTCGCGCAAATTATGGTGCTGTACCACTCGTTTTCTTTTCCCCCTTATCTTTACCCTTTTTCCTTCTCGTTGCCATCTGGCCCGGCACTGCTCCCTCGGACGCTCCCAGGGGTGCCGAGCAAAGCGAGGCCGATGCCGCGCCTGCTCTTGCTAGGCTGCACGCCCGTCTATACCCTAACTTTTTAGGGTTCTACAGCACATGTGCTAATTACAGTGGCACGCTGACGCAGTGCCCCTCTCGAGTCAACAACCTCCTTCTCCTCCTTCGTTCTTCCCGACGACGACGCCGACGCCGACGACGACGCCGACGCCGACGCCGACGCCCACGACGACGACGACGCCTCGTGCTGCTACCACGCGCCGTCGTCCCCCCCTATCCCCCTCCCTACCGCCTCACCCCATCGCAAGCCCCCGAGACCGTGCGGAAATCTCTAAGCAGTCTCCTCTTCCGCCCCCTCCGCGAAGTCATGCTCTCGACCCTCAAGGGTTGAGGGGGGAGGTTTTCAGACGTTCTGCGCGCTCGTCGAGCACCCTGAGCAGCATCCGGGGACCTCCAAGGGTCAGGATCAGGGGCGGCAATAAAACGTACCACTCCTCGCCCCCCTCCTCCAGCCCGCATCTCCTCCTTCCCCCACTCCTCTTTCCAAGTCCTCTTACACGAGACTTCCTCACCGTTTATAATCCTGCAGCATGTCATGCCAACCAATTGCAGTAATAGAGGGCGTGCCGTTTTCAAAATGCGGCTCTTGCCGTACCGCTGCGCACATTCGTGCTGAAAGTGTCCAGCCGTTCCACTAATACGGTGAGGGCATTGCACCAGGAATTTGGACGCCCGAGATGGGTACGGAAAGAATGGGTACAATGCCTAACAACAAATGTGGTCCCAAACCAACAGCGGCCGTTGTTGGGCGGGCGGCCTTCTGTCTCGAATGGACACAGGCCGCGGCGGCGCGGACAGCGAACCCTGTTCAAAATGAACAGGAACTGCTGTTGGGCATTGTACCCATTCTTTCCGTACCCATTTCGGGCGTCCAGAAGGAACAAATGAATCAGGAACCCAGGGTCTAGAAACCCGGTGGAACTCCAGTCCTGGATCGATCACTGCCGCCCTCACCAGATGCGGAGGACCCCCCGCAGGTCTGAAGCCTCCTGGGCACACTCCTTCACCAACGGCCCCCTCATAGCGGCCCCCGTTCGAGCGCCGCGCACAGTAGGAGCTCGACCACAAGAAACCTTCCACAAGGAGCCCAACCCTGAGACCCCAGGACGTCCATTGATTTCTGGTGTGGGAACGTCGCAATCTCCATCGCAAAACCATCGAAGCCCAAGAAGCCCAGGGCACCCTGGAGGCAAGCGATGGTTTTCTAGGCATGAGTTTCCACCGTAGCCGGGGACACCACTCCCCGGACCTCTCCCGGGGTGCGTCCTGACCAGAATCTCGAGGCGAATCCAACGGTGGCGACGAGGGCCTCCGAGGAGGCCCAACAGGAGGAACACAGGGCCAGGGGTAGCGGTATGCGGCATAGGTGCCTCTGAGTAGCAGCTCCCGTTCGAACGCCGCGTCACATTCGACTTCGACGGCTTAGGCCATCACGCGGACGGAGGGCGAACCGTGTTGTCAAGCTGCGGCCCTGGCCTCTGCGCCTCGCATGAAGTCAGGCCCGTCCCCCTACAGGCGCAGTTGGGACGAACAAAACATACCCCAATAATGCACCTAAGAATGCCCAAACATTGTCAACACATCCTCCCCTGACTATTTTTTGACTACAGTCGGGGGCTTGACCTAAGGAACCCTAAACAAGGAACGAGGCCCCTGTTTTCCATGAGTTAAACTTCGACTTCCCACCGAAAACATAAGGAAACCCTGAGGCAAGCTGCGAAACACTTGAGGAACGCGGAGCCCCTCCCCAACGAAAAGGGTTCCTTCTTCAGGGCCCCGACTGTATGGGACGAGGAAATAAAACATACCCCAGATTTCGTAATAAAGGGAGGGGGGTCTCATTTCGGGGGGGGTCTCTTCCAGGCAATCTTGGAGGGCCTGGGGGGTCTGGGGACGATGTTTTGGAGGGTTCTCCCACGGGGGGGGGGGGTCTGAAATGGCCTGTCTTGGAGGGTCCAGACCCCCTCCCTTTTATTACTACATCTGGAGCACCCCAAGAATGCACCTAAGAATGCCCAAACATTGTCAACAAGTCCTCCCCTGACTACTTTTGGACTACTTTTCCCATAGGTCACCACGGCGGCGCGGGCCGAGGGGCGGGTGGGCTCTTCGAGGCGCCGCCCTCCCGCCTCGGCGCGCCGCACGCACTCGACCCAGAGAGGCCTTTTTCCGCAGCTGCCCGGAGGGAGGGAGGGCGACGCGCTCTCCACAGCGGGCTCCCTCTCTCTCTACATGTCGAGACCTCCTCGGGCTTCCTCGGAAGAGGCAAGTGCTTCTAACTTTTAGGTCGGGCATGTCCCCCCACAGGCGGACCGTGGACGGAGAAGGAGACGCAGTCAAAACATGTCACAAAACAGCTTAAACACTGCTCAGAAAATCGTTCCCAGACGATTTGTTTTCATACTATTTTTGAATTGTCCTGTGCAGGGACACACCCGACTTAATTCTAACTTTGTGCCACGGATACGCAGGTCGAGAACGGCTCCCTTTTTCCAGAAAGAGGCTCTCGCTCAAGACCTGTGGAACCGCACGCACCCAGGACCCCTCGCGGGCGGAACCGCGTACACGTGGAATCCCAATGTGTGTGCGCGTGTAGCTGCATTGTGTGTGTGTGTGTGTGTGTGGAACCCCAGGGCGGGAGGCTCCAAGCAACCACCGGAGGCGCCGCCCGAGGGCTCCGGGCGCAGACTCCAGAATCACGTCGGGCCTGTCCCTCTACAGGGACATTTTCGACGAAAGATTAAAGATGCCCCAAAAAAGCCAAATAATACTCCAAAAATAGTCCCCATACTATTCTTGGACTATCTTTGGAGCACTTTTTATGTTTCGTCGAAAGTCCCCCTTTGTAGGGGGACAGGCCCGACTGAACTCCAGAGCGCCGCGCGGAGCTCCGAAACTCGGTCGCCGTGCAGCCCTCTTCGACAAACACGGCCGCCCCTCGGCGCGCCCTCGGCTGGCCGCAGAGGGCGGCCCGCGGCGGCGGCACGCGGCAACCCTCGGAGGCCCTCGGCGGGCCGGGCAGCCGCGCCGCCGTCGTCGTCGCCGTCGTCGTCGCCGCCGTCGTCGTCGTCGTCGCCGTCGTCGTCGTCGCCGTCGTCGCCGCCGTCGCCGTCGCCGTCGTCGTCGTCGTCGTCGTCGTCGGCGGCGGCGGCGGCGGCGGCGTCGTCGGCGTCGTCGTCGCGGGCACCCGCTGCCGCCCCGTGCCCTCGCGTGCCTGGTCCCAGTCCGCGGCCGGCGCCAGGCAGGGGCTCGCGTAGAGGTTGCACACGTTGGAGGCGTTGAAGACGTCAACGGCGACGCAGTGCTCGGTCCTCGGGCAGCGGCCCCGCCAGGAGGAAGGGTGCGCGCCCCTCCCCAAGGAGCCCCCCTGGCGTCGTGAAGAGATCGCGGCGGACGGCTGCTGCTAATCTTATGTCGGGCGTGTCCCCGTACAGGGGGATTTTCGACGAAAAATAAGAATACCCTAAAAATGCCCCAAGAAGGTTAAAAAATTACCCAAAAATAGTCCCCAGACCATTTTTGGACTATTTTTTGATTATTTTTCCGGTATTTTTTGTTTTTCGCCGAAAATCCCCCTGTAGGGGGACACGCCCGACTTAATGCTAATCTTCTGCCTCTGGGAGCCCCCGCCAAGCCCGCGGGTCGTCAAACAGCGACTCCCGACGAGAAGCTGGTCCCAGGGAGTGCGTCGAGACCTCTGGGGGTCGACGCTGTAAAAAATCATGACGTCGGCCGTCTGGGTCGTCCTCCTCCGTTCTCCCTTCTGCCCCGCCACCGCCGAGCAGCGACCGTGCCCGCCGAGTGGCGCCTCGACCACAGAGGACCGAGGACGGAGAGGGGGGGAGCAGAAGACGGGCGGGAGGGTGGGAGGATCCTGGTCTGCGCTGGCACGGTTCTTCCCGGATAGCGCTTTGCCAAGACAAGAGTACCACGGAAGAGTTCGACAATCGGCGGTGGACAAACCTCCCTTTAGTAAACCTCCCCTTAGTGAAAAAGGCCTGGGGCCGAAACCGACGGACCTGGACCCGCAAAAATGACGGCTGCGACGCCCTCTCGCCAATCGAAAACGGCCAATTCCTTAATCGACGTGTCAGGGTAGGAGGTCGATCCACCTCCGAGACAAAGGGGACGGGGAGGCCCAGACCGCTTGGTCCGGCGGACGGTCCTGTAGCAATGGTGCCCGAGGCGCCCTCACAGTGTATTCGAAGAGCGTGCTCTCGCCTTGCCGTCGGCTGCATTTTTGCTCCGTGCGGCCATGGCCCTGTGCGCGGTCGCGCTCTCGCCTGTACCCGTAGGTCGGGCATGTCCCCCTACAGGCGGATTTTGTACGACAACGAGAAATTACACACATCATAATCAAGCATTGTCAAATATGATAGAAAAATCGCGCCCGACTATTTTTTGAGAGTGTTTGAACATTCCTCCTGTGGAGCGACGTGCTCGACTTAACTGCACCCCCCCATATAACCGACCTCCTACTCCCCGACCCGCCTCTTCACCCCTGCTGCCACGAGGGTTCCCCGCGGAGGTAAACAAGCTCGTGTCTCTCCGAATGGGGGCGGCTGCTGATGGTCTTCGCCCCCAACTTTTCCATCCTCGTTGCAGCCTCCCCGGCTTCTCTCGGGGTCGGCCAATGGGGGGTGGCGCAAATCATGGCCATCGGCATGTGCGCGGCCCAACGCCCCTCCTCCTCCTCCTCCTCCTCCTCCTCCTCCTCCTCCTCCTCCTCTCCCCTCCCCCCTCCTCCTCCTCCTCCTCCTCCTCCTCCTCCTCCTCCTCCTCCTCCTCCTCCTCCTCCCCTTCCTCCTCCTAGGTCGGGTCTGGCTCTGGAGCAGGTCGAGGTTGGCATGAAGTAGACGGGCCCCGAAGGAACCCGACCCTGGATCCCTGGGGCCTCCCCCCAGGACCAGTCCCACCAGCCCGTTGGGGGCGTGTGTGGCCTGGGGCGTTTCCAACACCCTTCTTCCCCTTCGGGGCGAGGTTTGCCACCGTCCCCTAATATTGAACACCCCCTTCCCCAGGCGACCGGCAGCGAACCCGGACCCATGCCGACACCCCCTCCACCACCCCTGTCGAAAACGAAGGGCATGCGCGGGCGTCCCGCGACCACTCCGAATTTGTTGTTGATTGGGACAGCGGGGGGGCCCTCATATGATCTGCTGCGCGCAAGCCAACCATCAATGTCAAGAACTACCCTGGCGAAGGACCCAACCAGAAGGAATTGTGAGTACTGCAAGGAAGGTGGGACGCAGGAGGGGGAAGTCCGCATGGGGCCCAAGCCGTGTGAGAGTATGCTGACATGGGCGGTGGGGGGCTATGTGGGCACCGCCGCCAAGGACTTCGGTGTAGTTCCCCAGGAGCAGGCCGCGAAACGCTGTACTACGTGGCGCGGACGCATGCGATCACAGCCGCTGGGGCCTTCGGTGGAACTCCCTATTGAACCACGTAGCGCTGTATTGGGCGGCGCAGGAGCATGTGGTCGCAGCCACTGGGGCCTTGAGTGGGGCTACCCATGGGGCCAAGAAGCGCTGTAATGTGTGGCGCGGACGCATGTGGTAACAGCGATTGGGGCCTTCGGTGGAGATCCCTATGGATCAACGAAGCGCCGTACTGGGTGGCGCGGGACGCATGTGGTCACAACCGCTGGGGCCTTCGGTGGAGCTCCCTGCTAGGCCACGAAACGCCGTACTGGGTGGCGCGGGTCGCATGTGGTCACAGCCACTGGGGCCTTCGGTGGAGCTCCCTATTATTCCACGACGTGCTGTACTGGGTGGCGCGGGTCGCATGTGGTCACAGCCACTGGGGCCTTCGGTGGAGCTCCCTATTATTCCACGACGTGCTGTACTGGGTGCCGCGGGACGCATGTGGTCACAGCCAGTGGGGCCGTCAATAGAGCTCCTATGGGGCCGCGAAGCGCCGTGCTGAGTGGCGCTGGGCGCATGTGGTCACAGCCACTGGGGCCTTCGGTGGAGCTCGCCATGAGGCCACGAAGCGCCGTCCTGGGTGGCGCGGGTCGCATGTGGTCACAGCCGCTGGGGCCTCAGGTGGAGCGTCTTGTGGGACCACGGAACGCCGTACTTGGCGGCGCGGGGCGCATGTGGCCACAACCGCTGGAGCGTTTCGTGGGGCGCCCTGTGGTGCCACGAAACGCTGTACTGGGTGGCGTGGGACGCGTGTGGGCACAACCGCAGAGGCCTCCGGTGGGGCTACCTTTCGGACCACGAAGCGCTGTACTGGGTGGCGCGGGACGCATGTGGTCACAGCCACTGGGGCCTTCGGTGGAGCTCCCTACTGGGCGACGAAACGCCGTACTGGGTGGCGCGGGACGCATACGGTCACAACCATTTGGGCCTTCGGTGGAGATCCCTATGCAAACACTCAACGCTGTGCTGGGTGCCGCGGTGCCGCGGGACGCATGTGGTCACAGCCACTGAGGCCTTCGGTGGAGCTCCCAATGGGACCACGAAGCGCTGCAATGAGTGGCGCGGGGCGCATGTGGCCACAACCGCTAGAGCCTTTGGTGGAGCGCCCTGTGGTGCCACGAAGCGCTGTACTGGGTGGCGTGGGACGCATGTGGGCACAACCGCAGAGGCCTCCGGTGGGGCTACCTTCCGGGCCACGAAACGCCGTGCTGGATTGCGCGGGACGCATGTGGTCACAACCACAGGGGCCTCTGGTGGAGCTCCCTATCAGGGAATCGCAAAATCTGCGAATCGCAATTGTATCGCCCCTGGGCGTCCTCTCGAAGGCTTCGTTGGGCGTCTTGCGGGCATTCTGGGCCGTCTCGATGTCATCTAGGCCCCTCTTGGAGCGTTGTCCTGTCGAGGCCGTTGCGGGGGGGCCTGTCCTGTCCGCAAGGGCGACTTGCTCAGCGCGCGGCCATCCGCGGGCGCCAATCCCCCAACCCCTTGCAACGCAGTGGCGGTGGATCTCAAGACGGGGTGGCGTCGGACCACGAAGCCAGACAACCTGGGCAAACTCGAGAACGCATGCCTTTTTTCTCCGAAGTTCTGAAGAGAACGCAGGAGGACCACAGAGCAAGGCCGCGCAACTTCGGCGCGCGCCAATTCAGCTCGGGCTCATCTAATACTAGCCGGCCGCTCTGCGGTTGATCGGGAGTTTCTGTATATAGAAGAAGGTGCGTGCGCTTGTTGGCGAGGGTGATGAGGTCCTCCTCCTCCTCCTCCTCCTCCTCCTCCTCCTCCTCCATCCTTCTCTTGCCTCCGTCTGTCCTCCTCCACCCCGCAGCTCCATCATCTTCTCCTCCTCCTCCTCCTCCTCCTCCTCCTCCTCCTCCTCCTCCTCCTCCTCATTCCTCCTCTGGGCACCTCCCCCGGGGCGCGGATCCACCGGATCTGTCCGGATCTGTCCGGAAACGGTGCCGGATGCCGCTCTGGGCTCCTCTGGGCACCTCCCCCGGGGCCGGTTTTGTGAGGATGTCTCAAGCGAGGGCGCCGGTTTGGGATTCGTCACCGGATCCAGCGGATCCACCGGATCTGTCCGGAAACGGTGCCGGAGGCCGCTCTGGGCTCCTCTGGGCACCTCCCCCGGGGCCGGTTTTGTGAGGATGTCTCAAGCGAGGGCGCCGGTTTGGGATTCGTCACCGGATCCAGCGGATCCAGGCGGATCTGTCCGGAAACGGTGCCGGAGGCCGCTCTGGGCTCCTCTGGGCACCTCCCCCGGGGCCGGTTTTGTGAGGATGTCTCAAGCGAGGGCGCCGGTTTGGGATTCGTCACCGGATCCAGCGGATCCAGCGGATCCAGCGGATCTGTCCGGAAACGGTGCCGGAGGCCGCTCTGGGCTCCTCTGGGCACCTCCCCCGGGGCCGGTTTTGTGAGGATGTCTCAAGCGAGGGCGCCGGTTTGGGATTCGTCACCGGATCCAGCGGATCCAGCGGATCCACCGGATCTGTCCGGAAACGGTGCCGGAGGCCGCTCTGGGCTCCTCTGGGCACCTCCCCCGGGGCCGGTTTTGTGAGGATGTCTCAAGCGAGGGCGCCGGTTTGGGATTCGTCACCGGATATCCAGCGGATCCACCGGATCTGTCCGGAAACGGTGCCGGAGGCCGCTCTGGGCTCCTCTGGGCACCTCCCCCGGGGCCGGTTTTGTGAGGATGTCTCAAGCGAGGGCGCCGGTTTGGGATTCGTCACCGGATCCAGCGGATCCAGCGGATCCACCGGATCTGTCCGGAAACGGTGCCGGAGGCCGCTCTGGGCTCCTCTGGGCACCTCCCCCGGGGCCGGTTTTGTGAGGATGTCTCAAGCGAGGGCGCCGGTTTGGGATTCGTCACCGGATCCAGCGGATCCAGCGGATCCACGGATCTGTCCGGAAACGGTGCCGGAGGCCGCTCTGGGCTCCTCTGGGCACCTCCCCCGGGGCCGGTTTTGTGAGGATGTCTCAAGCGAGGGCGCCGGTTTGGGATTCGTCACCGGATCCAGCGGATCCAGCGGATCCACCGGATCTGTCCGGAAACGGTGCCGGAGGCCGCTCTGGACTCGTGCTCTTCGCGCCGGGGTGAGGATGACGTGAGTTCCACAGAAACTCCCTCAAACAAGCAGGGCGCTCGCGGTTAATGCCATCCATGACTTACTGGAGACACAGTGCAACCCATGAGAGAAATATTTAGCGCGCCAAGCAAGCGGCGGGATCGTGAGGCAGCACCTTGATTATCCAGTGCGTGCGCTGTGGCACCTGCCTGCGCGAGCCGTCGACGTCGTGCTGGGCGTTGACCCACGTGGCCGCCGCCTTGAATCGCCCCTCGGGATCCTCCCCCGTTTCAGTCCAAGGCTCCGTCGGAAGGGTGAGCCGCAACCTCTCCCTCACCCACGACACGGCAGTCTCGTGTGGCCAGAGGTCCCCGGACTGCCCTGGCTGGACACTTGCGTCGTCGCCGCGGAAAGCCTTGAAATTGTGCTCGCGCAGAGCCTGCTCGGACTCATGTGCGATGTTCCCACCCTGAAGAAAGCCGCCGCCAAAGTCAACGAACGCGTCGCCTGTCTGACCACCATGGAAGCGCGCGTTGATGGGCACGCGCGCGCCCCTTCCCTGCGAGCGCCGAGTCCCTCTTCTTGCTGCTGCGCATGTTCACAGACTCGGGCTTCGCGCCGCTGCGCGTGCATCCTGCGCCCCCTTTCTGCGGGAAGGCTTGAACGGTGGCTTTCCGAACAGTGGTAGGCAAGACGTTGTTTTATATGTCCGTCCAGACAACGTGACGAAAGTACTACTTGGGCGCGCGCATCAATGACATCGCGTGCTTGCCAAGGCCAACTGCTTCGGGGCGCCATGCGGCAGCGCGGCCACAATTGCCAGGCGCTTCTGGTGAGGCCACGGCGCGTCAGGATCGAGGTCGTAGCAACGACCCCCCAGGATGTCGCACACGACTTGCCTGCCGACTGGGCACCCCGCGGCTGGGCTGATAGAAGCATTCAGGCACTGGGCGATCACGAGGCCATGCGTAGGCTCAACCCCGCGCTCATGGCTATCGCGCTGGAGGCGATGGCCGCTTTGTCCGTCTCACCCAGAGCTGACGAACCACCACCCGGGCCCATGCGCACTTCGCCTGGGAACCATTCCTCGTCCTCGTGCATCTTGCTGACCAACTTGCTGATTGAACTTACATGTGGATGGTGGCGCCAAGGGCCCTGCAGGTAGACGCGGTCTGCGATCCACTGCATCTTCCCATGCACTCGGTCCCCTTGCAGCTCCTCCCACGCCTCCTTCTGCCCATGGGCTTTGGCCTGCTGCCGCGGGAACATGCAGCCATCCTTGCGAACCTTCTTCCACAACTGAGACGACTCCCGCTGCTCATCGTCGAAGTGCGCGGGCCTGCGGGGCCGACGCGGGGCTGCAGCTGGATTGCGGCGGCAGACGGCGAAGGCCAGATTGGAATGTGCCCTTCTGCCTGCATCCCTGCGCGTCTGTCTGGGTGTCTGTCTGGGCTCCCGTCTGCATGCGTATCTGTCAGTCCGTACATCTCAATCGGTGAGCTACCTGGTCCGCTCGTCGGCGCGCCACGCGGCCGGCCCGTCGGCGCGAGCTGTGGCCCTGCCTCCGTCTGCCTGTCGGTCGGTCTGTCTGTCCGCCTGTGCGCCTGCCCGTCGGTCTGCCGATCTGTCTGCCTCCCTGTCGAACTGTCGGTCTGTCTGCCCGTCTGCCTGGCCTCCTGCCTACATTGCTGCTTCTCTGTCATTCGGTCCGTCGCCCCGTCGGCCTGTCGGTCGGTCGGTCGGCCTCCGTCCGTCGGTCGGTCGCTCTGCCTGCCTGCGTGCAGTCCTGTTGGCCTGCCGCCCATGCCGAGCCCCCCCGCTTCTCAGTTCTCTGGGGCGGCACCCGCGGAGGCCGCGCAAGGACCCCCCGGCGAGGACCTTCAGCCGCTCGGTGGGCCGCCGCCGGGGGAACGCCGCCTTGTCCTTACCGCTGGGGCCGTGGCGTCGGTGATCCCGAGCTGCTTAAGGCCCTGCGAGAGGTCTAGACGCGCCCTGGCCATCGCTCGGACGTCCATTCCCTGTTTTTCTTTCGGTTTCGTGCGTGGCTTTTTCGCCAAGTGGTCAAGGATGCTCCTCGATGGTCCTCGCCGAAGGAAAAATTCACGCGTCTGAGCGATGCCAAGCTTGGCGGATGTCAGCTGGAAACAAGAACGCAACGCTGCAACTTTACAGCGTGCGTTTCGCCGCGCGGGTCGGCGTTCTGCGGGAGCAGGCGCGCCGACGGCATCCGAATAGTCAACGTTGGAGCATGTCCGCGATCATTCACGATCGTCGCAAACTCCGAATGGTTTTGTAGGGCGGCGGAACGGCGTGAGCCGCTTGAACTACGTAGACTGATGTTGGACGCGTTGCGAAGACATACCTTTTTGTTATCGTGCTCCTCCCCTTGGCTCAAAGTCATCCCCACCACTAGTTAGGTCAAATGCCCAACCACTGCCCAACTAGTGCCCAAGAAGTCGTGCACACGGGCCCCCAGGGGATTAGTTGGCCCGAGGGGATAGGGACCCAAGACGCAGGAAAGCGGCAACTCTTTTTGCAAGCCCCCTGACTCAGCCACTGGCACGCAGCGCGTGTCCACTCTGGAAAGCAGTGGTCAAGGTCGCTGCTGCGGCCGCTGCCAGGATCGTTAAGTGCTCGGCTCGGCGCCGACGGGGGCGGCGAGAGAAGGCGCGGCCTTCTATAAGGGCCCCCCGCTTCCGATGGGCGTGGGGGAAGACAGAACGGCCTTAACACACACACACACGCACACGCACACACACACACACACCTACACACACGCGCACACACAGACAGACACACACACACACCACACACACACACACACACGCACACACGCAAACGCGCACACGCGCACGCACACACGCACACACGAACTCACACACAAACACACGCAGACACACACATACACACACACGCACACATCCACACACACACACGCGCACACACACAAACACACAAACACACACACACACACGCACACAACAACACACACACGCACACGCACACACGCACACACGCACACACGCACGCACGCACTCACGCACGCACGCAGGCACGCAGGTACGCACGCTCGCACGCACGCACGCACCCACCCGCGCACACACACACACACATACACATACACACATACACACACGCACACACGCACACACGCACGCAGGCACGCAAGCACGCACGCAGGCACGCAACCAGGTACCCAGGCACCCAGGCACGCAGGCACGCAGGCACGCAGGCACGTAGGCACGCAGGCACGCAGGCACGCAGGCACGCAGGCAGGCACGCAGGCACGCAGGCACGCAGGCACGCAGGCACGCAGGCACGCAGGCACGCAGGCACGCAGGCAGGCACGCAGGCACGCAAGCACGCACACACGCACGCTCGCACGCAAGCACGCACGCAGGCACGCAGGCACGCAAGCACGCAGGCACGCACGCAGGCAGGCAGGCAGGCACGCACGCACACACGCACGCTCGCACGCACGCACGCAGGCACGCAGGCACGCAGGCACGCAGGCACGCAAGCACGCACGCAGGCAGGCAGGCACGCACGCACGAACGCACGCGCGCGCACACACAGAGACACAGAGACACAGAGGCACACAGACACACACAGACACATAGACACACACAGACACACACACAGACACACAGACACACACGTACGCACTCACGCACGCACGCACGCACGCACGCACACACACACCCACACACACCCACACACACCCACACACACCCACACACACACACCCACGCACCCATACGCACGCACCCATACGCACCCACACGCACACACACAGAGACACACTCACACACCGACACACTCACACGCACAGACACACTCACACACAGACACACACACAGACACACACACACACACAGACACCCACGCACACACACACACCCACACACACACGCACACACACACACACACTTCTGGAAGTCTCTGCGCACGCACACACTTCTGGCGGTCCGTGCGCATTTCTTGAACTGGCGCCGGGTCCCCCTCCCGGGCGTGCGGATCGCGCCAAAGGCGCAGCCAGGGAGGACCAGCGCCGATACTGGAAATCCGCGCGGGCCTCCGCAAATCTTTGCTTACGGTCACGAGCTCTAGGCTGGCGTGTCGCCGCGGCGGCCCCGGCGCTGTGCCCTGCGAGCAGGCAGCGTGCCGCTCCGCTCCGCGAGGCGGGAGTCTCAGAAGGGCTGGGGACGCTGACGCCGGGGGGGCAGGAAGTGGATAGCGCGTCTTCAGGAGCGCGGTGGGCCAGAGCCGGCGGCGCGACACGCTCAGCCAAAGTTCCTGGCCGCGTGTCGATGCAGTTGCCTGCGTCCCGACTCTGAGCAGCCCCCCGCCCTCGAAGGGCGTGCGCGCCGGCAGCCTGCAGCGGAGGGCCAGAAACCTGGGGACACATTCCTCGTCGACTCTGAGCTTCGCTTGTTTTTTAGTGTTGCTGCGTATTGCAGGCGCCCAACCGGGAGGACAAATCCTGCGCCCCTGCAGAAGACGGAGGCAATCAAGACCGAGGAGGCGGGAGCAAAGCAACAACGCTCGCGAATGCGCAGAGCAGCCAGGGCATTGCCTGGGGGTCTCGCACAAGCGCCCCACACGAGCTCTGAGCTTCGTAAGGCGCCCCAGGGCTTTGAGGGCCCATCGGAAGACAAGAAACTGTCGCGAGGCACCTGCTGGCAGGCCAGTTCCTGACTTGGTGTGCCTATCTTGAGGTGCCGAAGAGAGCAATGCTCCCTGGGCCTCCGCGCCGCTTCAGCTGATCGCGGCAAACGGCGCAATGTGCAGCAAGCAGCCGACCATCCTTAGAAGGTCATCCGAGGAGGAGCGAAGAGAAGCGAGGAGGAGGAGGAGGAGGAGGAGGAGACGGGAGGTGCGCTTGCGTGGCGCGAAACGCAGAAACGCAGCGAGGAGGAGGATGAGGAGGAGGAGGAGGAGGACCTGTGTCAACTCAAGACGCATCAACGATATTGCAATCAACCCTCCATGTGAGCTACCTCTTCATAAGTCCCCACAAGAATTGATTTCCATTGTGGAATATGCCTCATTGGAAGACAACCGTTTGACAATCTTCAACCGTGCTGAAACACCGTTCCTGGGACTTCAGCGCTGCGAATCAACGTGATTGTTGCGTCCTGACGCTCCTACACTGTGCTAGAACACCGATCTTGGGACTTCCTTCAACCATACGATTCCTTGATGCGGTTGCAAGATTCAAGGCGAATGTGCACAGCGCTGAAGCGAGAGCCAAATGTTGAAAAGGACCAGCTCTTCATTCGTGAACCAGTTGCGAACGTGTAACACAGATGTGCGCGGCGCTGGAAGGGGACCACACATTGTAAAGGACACGCCCTCCATTCGTGAACAAGTTGCAAGCTTCTAGAACGAATGCGGTTGGCACATAAGCGAATGAACAGTTCGAAAAAAGGACCAGCCCTTCATTCCTAACAGTACTGCGAACTCTCGAAACGAATGCGCGCGGCGCTGAGACGAGAACCACACTCGGAAAACGACACCGTGCCGCTGTTGCAAGCTTCTAGAACGACTGCTGTTGGCACATGAGCGAATTAACAGAAAAAGGACCAGCCGTTCATTCGTAACAGTACTGCGGACTTTCGAGACGAATGCGCGCGGCGCTGAGATGAGAACCACACTCGGAGAACGGCACCGCGACGCTGCTGCAGCCTCGGGCGAAGCGCCTGGCCCGCCCCACTGGCACACCTGGGGGTGCGGCAGGGAGGAGTTACTTGGAAGGAAAAGGGACTGGAGAGGAGGATGAAGTGGATGAGGAATCGGGGTCGGGGGCCACATGCGAACCCTACCCCTACCCCCCACGATTTCTGAGGAGGAGGGTGGGGTTCACTTCGCTCGGGAGCTTGGCCCCCTACGGGGTCGAGACCTCCGCCAAGCACGCATCCTTTATTGCAGCAGCCCAGTCGTGTGCAATGCTCGATGGCACTGTTGTGCCTGAGGCAGTAGCCTCCCCCTACCCCTTCTGTATACCCCCTGCTGTCGTCTCTCAATCACATCAGCTGTGAGTGATCGTGCCCGCATGTCTTGCCCCGCCCGCCTGGGCTCGCGCCCCTTGGCGCTCTGGCGAGCTGCTTGTTGTTTTGATGCATGTGGTCTGCTCTTGCTGTTGCCGTGCCTATACTTCGCCCTCGTCCATCCCTGGGTTCGCGCTTCGACCTTCCTTGCGCATCGACCGACCGACCGACCGAGGAGGAGGAGGCGGAGGAGGAGGAGAAGGAGCACATAATAAAAGATGAGCTCGTCCCACTCTGCTCCTCAATCCCGCAGGCTCGGAGGAGGCGGGGCCTCCTTCTGTAGAAGCCGAAGAGGAGGAGGATGAGGAGGATGAGGGGGATGAGTAGGATGAGGAGGAGGAGGGGGGAGAGGAGGAGGAGGAGGAGGAGGAGGAGGAGGAGGAGGAGAATGAGGAGGAGGAGGAGGGGGAGGGGGAGGAGGAGAAGGCGGAGCGTCCTCAGGAAAGTCTGATCTCCTTACCTAGCCACTCTACGGGCCCGTCGGGCCGAATTGCCTCCAGCAGGGAGGTCCACAGCTTGACGCGCAGCCCTGGCGATCGAGCGGGCGACCGAGGCAGGGACCGTCCCCCTGGTGGCCTCGCGCTTCTCAAGGTGGAGAAGGCGGTGCAAATGGAACATCAACGCAACTCCTCGAGCCGAATCCAGCGCGGGGACGACGAGGGCAAGGGCAGAACGAGTATCACTGGGCAACGGACGGCCAAGGGCCACCCGCACCAGTTCACGAAAGTGCGGACACCAGAAATAGTGTTTCAGGTTATCTGTAGCATCACAACCGAGGCAACATCTACGGTCTCGATTCTGGAGACGGGTGTCTGTGACCCAGCCCCCGAGCCAGGTCTTGATGCATGCACACCTCCAGCTCGGGGGCGCACGCATCAGGACCTGCTCCACGTCATGCCACACAACAGCCGCAGCCTCCAGGGGAGGCGCTCCGAACCATTTGGGGAGCCTCTCCGAGACAAGGCCCAGCAGATTCCCATCCCTGGAGGCCCGCAGGCCCACTAAAAGCTCACGCTGAAGCCGTCTCCTCCGCCCGTCCTCCCACCGACCCGCCCCACCTTGGCTAGAGGGAAGGAGGGGGGGGGGGGGAGCGCCGCTCTTTTCGAGCAGCTCGCGCCCCGCCGCCTCTGCACGCGCCGGCGTGACTGCGGGGGCGGGCGCCTCCCACCAGGAAGGCCAGGGCTGGCCTGACGTGCATCGCGCCATCGGCAGCCTGCGAGGGGGCACCTCACTCAGGTGCGCAGCGGCCCGACGCCATGTCCCCAGCGTCGAGAGGGCCGAGCGCGTGAGCGACGCCGCCAGGAGGTCCGACGTGGGCGCGCATCTTGGACCCCCCAGCGTCTCCAAGTCGTAGAACGTGTTCTTCTTGAACAAGCTTCCCGAGCACCTCGCAAGCCCGCGCAGCAGGAAGCGCTCATCGTCAATCAGCTCCGTCGGCATCGGCCAGAGCTGCGCCTTGTAGGCCAGGACGGGCTGGCATCGACGTCCGTGCTCGAAGGAGGCGGCCGTCATGTCCAGCGGAGATGCCGCCAGTGCCAGGACCCGTTCACGAGGGCGCGCGAGTGGCGCAGCCCACTGGGCCGCCAGCGATGCACCAGGGCCCACCCAGCATCCCAGCAGCTCCACCGACGAGGCCACGGCGAAGGAGCCCCACCCGCAGGCCTCGTCCAGGCACTTCCCCATCGCGTCCTCCACCTCCGTCGAGAACGGAGCCCAAAGCGGGACGGCCGCGCACTTCTTGGGCTGAAGCTGGAGGCCAGCGAGGCGCTCCGCGAGGCGGAAGATCCTTGCCAGTGTGCGGAGCCCCCGCCTGCAGAAGATCAGGGCCTGGATGTCATCAGCACGCCAGCGAGTCAGGCCAAGGGCCTTGGCCTCCAGCTGCTGCATGTGCGCCTCCACGAAGGGCTGCGCACCGATCACGAACATCGTCCCCGAGAGCGGGTCACCCTGCAAGATCCCGCACTGGATGACGAAGAGGACCCAGTGGCAGGGCCCCGCCTCCACGACCTCGACGTTGGCGTAGGACTCCTTCAGCAGGTGCTCCAGGCCGAGCGGCACCGTCCACGCCTCCAACACCCGCCGCATCCAGTCATGGAGGAGCGACGGGAAGGCGTGAGCGAAGTCGAAGCTCAGGAGGTTCGGCTCCTCCCAGCCTCGAGCTTGCTCCAACGCGCACATGGGGGCGACGCGGGACATGGCGTCGAGCTCCACCAGGTTCTCCAGGAAGTTCCGCCCCGTGATCAAGCCTCGCTGCGCCTTCGAGGCGCCACGGTCGATCATGCTCTTCAGCTTGAAGTTCACCGCAGAGGCGATGGCCTTGGGGCCCGTGGAGCGCAGCATGAGTGGTCGAGTCCCATTCGGCTTCCTGATGACCTCCATGCCGTCGCCGTCCAGCACCTTCTTCGGCGGGAAGATGGCGATGCTCATGTTGAACCCCCTGCGCATGGGGCGGCCCAAAGCCATCCATCTCTGAGCCGCCAGGAGCACCTCGCAGCCCGCCGAGTGCGACAGCCATGCCCGCGCGGGCAGGCCATCGACCCCAGGTGCAGCAGGCCGAGCGCGCCTCAGAGCCTCCTCGATGTTCATGGCCGAGGGAGGCGCCAGAGAGCTCCAGTCAACCTCCTTCATGCCGTACTTCGCGATGAAGGCCTTGGAGTCACGCTCGCGTCGGCAGCGCTCCGAGGCGTCGCCCTCCGCAGCCAGGCGCGCTGCACGTGCGGGGGGGCAGAAGACCTCGCCCCAGTGGTTCGCCAGCGCCTCGTGGATCTCGGCGGGCGAGGTGAGCAGCCTGCCGCCAGGGGCTTCCACGGCCGCAAGGTGCCGCCGCGGGAGAACCGACCAGAGAGCAGCACGACGTTCCAGGGCTCGGCGCTGTCCAAGGAGCCGACGGCGATCAGAAACTCGAAGCTGTTCCTCATCTGCTTCGAGCTCCGCCTGAAGCTCGGCACGCCTGGCCCTGGCCACGCGCCGCTGCGCCAGGACAAAGCGCCCGAGGAACTCCGCGTGGTCCTTCAGTATCACCACTCCCTTCATCACATCAACGGCCATCAGCTCATCCTGCCAGGTGTGGCGAACGAGGAGCCTCTCCGCCAGCGAGACGTGTTGGCGCGCCACCACCCTTGCCACTTGTCTGAAGATCAGCGCCGTGCACCGCTTCGACCATGCCATGCCCTGCAACTGCGCATCGCGCGTCTCTGCCGCAGCCGCCTGCATGGCGCGCACGTGCACCCGGCGCATGTCGGGCGGGGCACGCGACGACAGGTCCAACACCTCCACGTATTGGGCCAGCTTCTCCTTGAACATGGGGGAGTTCACAATGTCCCGGGGGATCGGGGCGGGCCCGAGCGGATCTCGCGGGCGCAGCGGGCGCCGCATCCAGGAGATCAGGACAGGCGCGTGGTCGCTGATGCCCCTCCTGTGCAGCTCCTCAGGCTCACCCATCACCTCGCATTGCTGGAAGCGTTGGGTCACCAGCCAGGACGGAACCCCGAGGAAGACCCGATCGATCCTGGTCTCAATCTGGCGGCCAGCATGCCAGTGGGTCGCGCACGGGGCAACCATCTCCACAGCATCACTCAAGCAGCGCTGCCAGCGCTGCTCTTGCGGGTGTCGAGCTGCAGCAACAGAACGAGGAGGAGCGTCGTCGCCAAAAAGGCAGTGCTCCAGTCTGTCGCCGAAATTGAAGTCGCCCACAACAAGTACAGCTGCCTTGACGGGGTCCCTCTTGGCCTCGAGGAGGTCAGCCGATATCTTTGCCTGGACACGTCTTTGCGTTCCGCAGTCCAAGCCGTGGTTGTGGATGTTCCAGTGTGTAAGCGTGCAGGGCCTCCCCGCGTCATCACTGAACTTGGCGCGGATACGCATAACCCTGCCAGGCACCAGTATTGACGATTCCCACGCCACGCTCTCATCACCATCAACCCTACACATAGGGAAAAGAGTGGCCAGCCCGCCAGTATCTTCACGTTCTCCCTCACAGAACGATGTAAATACACGGGCTCGAATACCCGCATGTTTGAGCAGCTCAGTCAAGCGGATGTGCGAGCCGTGCACCTCCTGAAGACCCAAGATGACCGAGTCGCGCTTCCAAAACTTGGCAAGGCACTTCGCCCTCGCCTTCGCCGTAGCAGGCTTGAAGTGGCACAGCGCCCTAGCGTTCCACGTGGCAGAGGTGAGCGCGAAGTCAGCCGCAGCAGCACGCGGACCGACAGGATCATCATGCCCGTGCCCAAGACCAGCTCCCGCAGCGCCACCTTCATCAACTCGACTAGGCCCTCCCCCAAGCTCAGCGGCGCCCTCATCCCGTCGCCGCCGACCCCAGCGGGCCGCAGCCTTGTCAAAGGCACCACTCCGCCGTCGACGGGGCCAGGACGGGCGCCACCATCTGCTCCAGCTGCTCACGAGGAAGTTGGTGTCGGCGAAGGACGGCAGCGTTCCACTGAACAACTGGTGGGGAACCTGGGCCCTCGATCGCGATCTTGACAAGGGGCTGCCAAGCCATGGAGAGGGTGCCTTTCATCTGGTCTGGACCAACAGGATCGACGAAGATGCGCTTCGAGAGACCCTCCTCGAGCGCACGCCGCATCTTCTTGAGCGTAATCTCGTAGGACACCTGGCGCGAGTTCTTGTCCTTGCTGAGGGACAGCGGCGAAGTGTGGCCAGTCGGAGTCGAGGCCGCAACTTGACGCCAGGTGCCGCCAGGGCCTCCACCGCGTAGCGTGGCCACCAACTTGCGCACCCTGCGCTCTGCCAGGCCCACGTCACCCTCCATCCTGACCACGAAGCGCTGGCCCAAGTCGTCGCCCTCAACCTTCGAGACATCCGTGAGCTACGCATCCCCCAGCACGGGCGCCATGGCACGCTCCACCGCCGCACGCATGAGCGGGGCCTTGGAGGTGACGACCATGACCGCGCGGTCGATCGCACGGCTCCAGGCAGGCCCCGTCTCAGGCGGGGGGGGCACACCTGCAGCGACCACGCCGAGCTCCCGCTGCAGCTGCGCCAGGTCAGCAGAGTGCTTCGCCATGATTTTGTCCGTCTCCTTCTGGCGCCTCCGCATCTCGTCCTCGAGCCTCTTGATGTCCTCCTCCTGCTGCTGCTGAACGCGCTCGACCTTCCCCTGCCTGCTCTCAAGGAGCGCCGTGCGGCGCTCCAGCGCCCGCTGGATGCCGCCCAGGCTCTTGTCCATGTTCTGCAAGAGGCGCTCCTGGCTAGAGCGCACCTCGGCGAAGAGCGACTCCCGCAGGTGGGCGATGGCAGCCGCAGTCTCGGGCGGCGCGCCGTCCAGCCCAGCAGGGTCCTCCCCCAGGACGGGTGTAGCCATGCCTCCCACAGGTGTGCTGGGGGCCGCCCGCTGTGCTCCAGGTCCCGCAGGGGCAGCACCGAGGCCAGCAGCAGCAGCCGCCCACGGGCCGTGCGGGGCCGCAGCAGGCTGCGAGGGGAGCGTGGGGCATGCAGCCTCCGCCTCCAGGAAGGCCGCCTCCTCGGCCTTGAGCGCAGCGAGTGCCGCCCTCTTGGCCTCCTCACGCTCAGCCTCCACATCTCGAGCACGGTCGCGGGACAAGCGCCCGCTGCGCCTGCGGCGGCGCCGCTCCCCGCTCCTGGACTTCTCGCGGGAAGACGAGGAGGAGCCGCCCGAGGAGGGAGCACGGCCAGCAGCGCCAGCAGCAGAGCTATCGCCCATATGCGCGCCATCCCGCGCAGGGCCCATGGCTTCGAATCTGGGAGCGATCGTGCCGACAGGAACGGGAAAGGCCTCCGTTTACCCACCGACCCGAGCGCTGGCGAGGTGGACCAGAGATGATGCCAGACTTCAAGAAGTCTTGCCAGCCGCGGACTAGCGGTATCCGCTTGGTTCCCTGGGGAAACCTGCATCTTGAGCCAAAATGGCTACGGAGGGGGAGGAGGAGAAGGAGGAGGAGGAAGGGAATGCGGATGAGGAGCCGGGCAGCGCTGAAGTCGGCTTCCACCGCTCCCGCTTCGCGCCCGCGCTGATCCCGGCGTGACGGTCTGGGCCCTCTGCAGCATGCCGGACTGCTTCCTGCGCGGTGGGCCGCCGCTGGCAAATTCGAGCGATGATGTCCGCCAGCGTAATCACGGCGGTGACCGAATATTCTCCCAAACGCACAGTGCTCCGCGTCGAAAACGCGACAGACCGATCTGAGGATGTCCCGGGAACCCTGCAGATTCGCTAGTCGACCTCTCGTACGCTGTGATCACCAAACTGTGAAGCTCTTTCTGCTCCATACTGCTCTCCCGCATGTCGCCGAGCAACGGCAATGCTTGCCGCCAGTGACCGCATCTCTCACACGCACTGATCCCAGCGATGTAGCTAATGACGTCGGGATTCAGCCTTGCCTCCCCCATGTCGGTCAGCAACGCCAACGCCCGCTGCCACTGCTCGCCTTTCCCGCACGCGCTGATCCCAGCGTTGTAGATGACTAGTGTGTACCTGTGGTGTGATCACCGCTATCGACGTTGAGGGGGGCAGTGCTTGTAGGGCGTGCCTCCACACGCAAGAGGCGTCACTCCACTTGCTTTCGGGCTCTCTTGGAAATCCACTTGAGGCCGCTCTGAAAGCCCTTCTGGGGCCTTTGGGGGCCTGCTTGGGCCTACCCTCGGGCTTCAGGCGGGTCTTAGGCGACGCCTGGGAGCGCTCCGAGAAGGCCCCAAGTGGGCCTGGAGAGAATCCCAAAGCAAGTAGAGTGACGCCACTTCCTTTAGGGGCCCTCTCGGGGTGCACTTGGAGCCCTGTTGGAGCCTCCCAGGAGCCCGCCTGATTTCTGCCTGGAGCCCCAGGGTAGCTGCGAGAGGGCCCCGAGAGGCTTCATTGGGAGACCCCCAGAGAGCTCCAGAAGCCCTCCAAGATGGCCCACAAGCAAGTGGCGTCACTCCGTTTGCTTTTGTCCTCTCGTGGAATCCACTTGAAGCCGCTCTGAAAGCCCTTCTGAGGCCTCTTGGGGCCTGCTTGGGCCTACACTGGGGCTTCAGGGGGGTCCTAATCAGCGCCTGAGAGCGCTCCGAGAGGGCGCCAAGTGGGTCCGGAGAGAATCCAAAAGCAAGTGGAGTGACGCCATTGGCTGGGCCATCTTGGAGGGCTTTTGGAGCTCTCCGGGTTCTCCCCTTGAAGCCGCTTGGGGCCCTCTCGGAGCTACTCTTGGGCTCCAGGCAGAAGTCAGGCGAGCTCGTGGAAGGCTCCAACAGGGCCCCAAGTGCACCCCAAGCGGGCCCAAAAGGAAGTGGCGTCACTTCGCTGACCCTTGCTTTTGGTCTCTCTCTCTCTCTCTCGGAGTGCACTTCAAGCCGTCTTCGAAACCTCCTTGTGGTCTCGTGGGGCCCGCCTCTGCCTACCCTGCGGCTTCAGGTGGGACTGAGGCGGCCTCCGGGAACGCTCGGAGAGCGCCCCAAGTGCCCCAAGTGGGCCCGGAGAGCATCCACAAGCAGGTGGCGTCACTCCACTTGCTTTTGGGCTTTCTTGGAATCGACTCGAAGCCGCTGTGAAATCACTTCTGGGGTCTCTTGGGGCCTGCTTGGGCCCACCCTGGGGCTTCAGGCGGGATTGAGGCGGCGACTTGGGGCCCTCTGGGGCCGTCTTGGGGCCCTGCGAGGCCGGCTCGGAACCCTCTGGGGCCAGCTTGGGCCGGCTTGGGGGCCTCTGGGACTCTGTGGGCTTCTCTGGGGCTGCTCTTGGGGCCGTCTGAGGCGGCTCCGAGGGCCCGCCCAGAGCGTCCTGGGCCCCTTTGGGCCTCTCTGGGGCTTCTCTGGGGCCGTCTTGGGGCCGTCTTGGGGCTTTCTTGGGCCGCCCTTGGGAGCCTCTAGGGCCGCCCTGATAAGACCTGGGAGGCCCCTGAGGCCGTCTTGGGCGGCTAAAGCCGAAACAAGCGAGAACACGAATGCCATAGAAAAAGCAATGGAAAATCAAAGAATTCGGCCTCCGAAAGCGTTCCCTGGGAGTCTCTTGGGGCGGTCCTGGGGTGTCACGGGCGCAACTTGGGCTGTCTGGGGGCCATGTTCGGCAGTCTTGCGCCGTCTCCTGCTCAGCTCCATCGGGGCCCCTCCGAAGGCTACCGAGGCGGCTCCGAGGGCCCGCCCGTCGGGGCGCCTCTTGGGGCCTGCTTGGGGGCCTACCCTGGGGCTTCAGGCGGTACTCAGGCGGCGTCTTGGGCTTTCCTGGGCCGTCTTGGGGCCTTGCGAGGCCATCTCGGCAGCTGCTGGGGCTGGCTTGGTGGCCTCTGGGACTCTCTGGGCCTCTCTGGGGCTTCTCTCGGGGCCTCCCGGAACCGTCTTGGGGCCGTCTTGGAACCGCCTTGGGGCTTTCTTGGGCCATCTTGGGGCGCTCCTGGTTGCCTCTGGGGCCGCCCTGGTACGATCCCTGAGGCCGTCTTGGGCGGCTGAAGCCGAAAAAAGTGAGAACACGAATGACACAGAACAACAATGGAAAATCAATGATTTCGGCCCCTGGAAACGCTCCCTAGGAGTCTCTTGGGGGTGTCCTGGGGCGTCATGGGCGCCTCATGGGCTGTCTGGGGGTCCTGTTCGGCAGTCTTGCGCCGTCTCCTGCGCCATCGGGGCCCCTCAGAAAGCTACCGAGGCGGCTCCGAAGGCCCCCCCCGGACCGGCCCGGAGGGGGACCGGTTCGTTGCCACCGCTCGCCCTTTTCGCGCGCGCTGTCCGCGGTATTTTAAGAGAGGTAACGTCGGGCACCAGCTTCGCCTCCCACATCTCGCCGAGCAGCGATAGCGCCCGCTGCCACTGCTCGCCCTTCTCGCATGCGCTTATACCAGCGCTACAGCCGATGACTGTGGGCCCCAGCTTCGCCTCCCGCATTTCGGTGAGCAGCGCCAATGCCCGCTGCCATTGCTCGCCCTTCTCGCAAGCGCTGATTCCGGCGCTGTAGCTGAAGACGTTGGGCTCCAGCTTCGCATCCCGCATCTCGTTGATCAGCGCCAAAGACCGCTGCCACTGCCCGCCCTTCTCGCACGCGCTGATGCCAGCGCTGTAGCTGACAGCCCGTGGATTAAATCCACGGCGTGCTGAACCTGGGACTAGCACACCGTGGGTGAACAGTTTGACGAAATTCAACAGCTCGGGCGTTCCTGGGGCCGTGTCGGGGGCATTTGGGGCCCTCCTGCGAGCCTGTCTAGGGCGTCTTGAAGGCCTCTTGCGGTTGTTGGCTGTCCCCCAGAACCTCTTCTGGGGGACAGCCTGGGAACATCATTGTACGTGCGTGCCGTGAGGTTGCTGTCAGAAGGTCCCCCCTGTCACCCCTGAGGTTCAGTTAGCTGCAGGGTTTGCTGAAGGCTCTGGGAGCTGGGGCTGGAAGCTGTCTTCGAATATCCTGGGGGGTGTCGGCGCCATCTGGAGTGGTCCAGCCAGGGATCTCGTGATCTTGGGGCTGTCTTGGGGGCCACTGAGGGCTTTACTCGGCCGTAGGGGGTGAGCGAGATGCTGGTCCCTGCAGTGTCTGCAGGTCCCCATCCTGTCACTCATAATCGGCTGTAGAGGGGGAGCGACCAAAGTGGCTGCAGGTCCCCCCTGTCACCCCTAGCATGCTGATTGGAGGCCCCAGAGCGGCCAGAGCCTCGGCGAGGGAAGGAGGAAGAGATCAGAGGAGAAAGTCCCCTGTCACTCCTAATCGGCCCTAGGAGGGGAGATTTTGAGGGTGACTCTGGGCCATCTCGGAGTGGTCCTGGGATTGCTTTTGGAAGCTCCGTGGGAACATGCGAGTCTCTCCCTGGGACCGCTCTTGGGAGCTCTGTGGGAACTGTCGGATCCTCCTGGCAAGCGTCCGAATCTTGTGGGCGACTCTGGGGCATCTCGGAATGGCCCTGGACAGCTCTCGGGAGTTCTGCTGGGGACTATCGGAGTCTCTTGGGAGGCTCTAGGGCCTCGCGGAGTGGTCTGGGGCCTGCCTTGGGGGTCAGGGGGTCGAAGCACTTGGGGGTCTTGGGGGCGTTTGGGGTTCGAGAGACGTCGGAAAGGTGTCTTGGGGGCGCTTGGGTTAGGTCTGGCATGTCCTCCTACAGGCGGATTTTGGAAGAAAAATAAAACAGATTCAACAAACACTCCAAAATAGTCAAAAATAGTCCAAACATCGTCCCCAAACTGTTTTTTACTTTTGAATACTCCCCCTGTAGAGGGACAGGCCCGACTGAACGGAAAAGTGTCTTGGGTGCGCTTGGGTTGCGAGAGACGGCGAACGAATGCCGCGGCTCTCTCCTTGGGAGCTCCTTGGGAACCCTCGGAGTCTCTGGGGAGGCTCTGGGGCATGTGAGAGCGGTCCTTTGAGGGTTCTTGGCCCATTGGGGGCTGCGAGAAAGGCGTCGTCTAGGCTACCTTCGGCCCCTCTTCGAGCCCTCGGGGGGGTCTCTCTCCGGAACCTCTTGGGGCCCTCTCGGCCCATTTCTGAGCTTTCTTGGGCCGTCTCGTGGGCCTCTTGGGCCGTGCTGGGGCCATTGAGGGGGTCTCGGGCCGTCTTGAAGCTCGCTTTGGTGACCGTCGGGCAGTTCCTAGGGTCATCTTGGGGCTGTCCTGGGGGCCACCAGGCGCTCTATTAGGTTTGTCTTGGGCTTCTCTTGAGCAATCTTCGGGGCCTCTGGGGCCGTCTTGGGACACTTGGCGGGGCCTCCTGGACCGTCTGGGGGCGAGCTGGAAAAGCCCTGGAGCCGTCTGGGGCCGTCCTTGGCCCGGAAAGGCGAGAACATGGAAAACCTTCAAAAACTGGCGGAGAGCCTATGATTTGGGGCTCGGGGGGCCGTCATCGGGGTCCGGTTCAGCCGTTGTCCGAGGCACCTGGCCCGTCGTCGGGCCGTCTTGGGCTGTCATGGGGCTCCGTTCGGGTCCTCTTGGGCCGTCCTCGCATGCTCTGAGCATCTCAGAGCTGTCTTGGGGCTGTCAGAGACCGTCTTGGGGCTGTCGGAGCCGTCGGAGAGCGCCGTGGCGCTTCGGGCGCGCGGGGGCAGCTGGCGCACTGCAGGCGCATCTCGCACGCGCACCACCAGATGACATCTGGCTGCAGCTTCGCCTCCCACATCTCACTGAGCAGCGCCAGAGCCCGCGACCACCGTCCGCCCTTCTCGCATGCGCTGATCCCAGAGTTGTAGCTGATGACGTCGGGCTCCAGCCTCCCCTTCCACATCTCACCCAGCAGCGCCAGAGCCCGCGGCCACTCGCACGCGCTGATCCCAGAGCTGTAGATTATGACGTTGGGCTCTAGCTTCGCCTCCCGCATCTCGCTGAGCAGCGCC